CTCTCTCTCTCTCTCTCTCTCTCTCTCTCTCTTGTTATCAATCCATCTACCTATCTATCTTTCTTTCTCTCACCTTCTCCCTCTCAGTCTCAGCCAACGGACATAAGAGGAACCATAGACTTTTGTCACTACAAAATATTTTTGTCAACTCTATTCAAAATTTTAAGAACCTAAATAAAGTCTAAATAAAAACGTAATGAATCAGAAAAGCAAGTATTTTTCTGAAAAGAAATTTATTCCACTTTTGAAAAGTTTGATCAAACAAGTGGGTACTTCATTACAATCATTGCCCAAATTGTATCATTACATCAAAATGTGTATTTTCATACGTACGTACATTTCAGAATCCCCTCGCTCGGCTCCCGCCTCCAGAACCCCACCCAACAGCGCCCGCCGACGCCCCCTGACGGCCCCTCCCCCGGAGCGACGGCCCCTCCCTACGACAAGTCGCCCTCTGTGGCCGGAGAAAAAGAAGGGGCGTCGCCCACACCCCCACAGCGCGGAGAACATCAAGAGAAAACAAACCAAGCTCAATGTCGTTGGTACGTACGTAACTATGGACGCTCGGTTAAAGTAAACTTAACTCTGTATAGACTCCGTATGTGGCAAACCCGCTATGCATGCCGAGGCCCATTTTTGGTTTTTAAAAAAAAAAGTAAAGTTGTTCCCACATCCGATCCGTACATTGAAGATTGCCTTGTTAGTGAGACAACTTCCTGGACCTTCGGCATAATAATATTGTGGTAGGGTGGCCAGTTCCTTTCCACGCCGCCTTTACTTTCCCAACTCGAAGTCAGTTACCCATTACTGCTACGAGGGCAGGAGGGGGCGAAAACAATCCGAGTCCGAACCGAGGCTCGAACCCTGACTTTCCGCTTCGGAGACGAGCGCACTAATCGCTCCGCCACTGCACCCTCCCGTTTTTGGTACCATTCTAAAAATGACGAAAACGTCACTAAATTGATCTTTAAATCAAAACAAGTGAACCTATTTCGATAGTTTTTCGTCTAATGAAAGAAATCCCGAAAAAAGATACCCTTTTTTTGTAATTGCCGAAAAAGTTAAATGATTTGATGTCGAGGTCGTCGTAAAGGTATACATGTGCCCGAGTCGCTGTCAGCGGCTCACCGACACAGCAGCAGTTCCGACGCGAGCTGCAGGGAGCGGCTTTCCGGAGATAAAGAGTTAAGCCCTAACCTACATTAGGAGGACATCACTTGACCTAGTATGCGCATCTGGGATCTCCACTTTCAGTTGGATCGGGTCACATATCGCTTCTTTAGAATTGCAAGGTTTTATCTGAAATTTTGTTTTCCCGTGGTGAAGGTCAGAAACAATTAATGTTCTATCTTCCCTATCAAAATCGGAAGTTTATTCAGAGTCGTTATCAAGATATTCAAAGAATTGTTGGGTTTTTTTAAGTGTGGCATGTTGTGAAACTCAAGATTTTTATAGTCAAATTTCTCAAAACTAGATCTAGGTAGGCTACTGAGCAGATAGAACTTTGTGATTCTTATACGGGGTGCCCACTACGGCTGGATCAGGTCGATCGCCCGAAACTGAAAACAAACACGTTTGTTTTTTTAGGCGACCGAGTCGATCGGTCGGTCTCATATTCTGTAGTGGGCACCCCGTATTAGGTTACGACTTGAGTCGTCCTACTCAAATACGCGTGACATAATATGCGAAATAGCTATGGTTTTAAATTTATATACGGTATGTAAAACAAGGAACGATATTTATTTTAATCGGATGCTCTTTAATATGACACGTTCTCTTAAGGCCAAATGTGTTAACAGCCTAGTTAGAGGTTAGAGTTATTCAGAGTCATAGCCTTGTTAAAAGTTTATAGCTTTCCGTTAAATAACAATCTTTATCGGTTGAAATAGATAAATTCTATCATATTATGAGGATCAGTGGTAGTTTTACAGAAAAAGGAATCTGGCAACAATCGTTATTGCAACATAATTGGATCACAGTCAAACCTGTCAAAGACGACCACCCACTGGCGAGAAGAAAAGTGGTCTTCTTAGACTGGCAGTCTTCTTGAGAAGTGACATTATTTATTTTATAAATAAATGAATAAATGAATAAATGAATAAATAAATAATACATAAATAACAACATAATTACCCTAATAAAGAGAAAAAGGAGAGAAGAAAAAAGGGAGGGGGGGTAGGGGAATGGGGAGTGGTCATTTGTACAAGTGCTTGTCTTGGACAGGTTGTCATCAGAGCAGGTTCAACCAACTGTAATTCGTGCATGTCTTCTCGATCTTTTATTTCCAGGGAGTCGACTTCCTATCGGTCTGGGCAAAGACTTGGACATGAGGATCGCCCGAATGCAGCGACAGGACAGCGCGCATCAGATGCGGGGAGCGGCGGAGGACGAGATCTACGTGGTCAACCAACCCCCGCCCACACCCAACAGCTTGGCGCCCATCAAGGACGAAGCGACGGAGATGAAAGAAGAGGAGGAGGAGAAACAAGAAGAGGAGGAGAAACCTGAAGAGGTGGAAGAGGAGAAGGTGGTGGAGACGGTTGGTGAGAAAGAGAAAGATAAAACTGAGCTTGGGGAAGAAGTGAGAGGTGAAGATGTTCCGAAGGAGACGGTTGGAGCGAAGGAGGGTGACGAGGGAGGAGAGGAGGAGGAGGAGGAGGAGGAGGAAGAGGAAAAAGAGATGAGTTTGCCGAGGGTTGTGGTTGACGTACGAGGAACTGATGAAAGAGGAGATAATGAACTGGAAAACACGGAAGAATGCAAGGAGACAAAGAAAGGGACAGAGAGAGGAGAAGAAAGTCCTGACACTGAGCCAGCTGCTGGTGGAGAAGGTAGAAATGAAGAAGAAAAGACAGAGGAGGAAGAGGAGACAGGGGTAATTGTTGATGAAGCAGACCACGCAGAAGAGGAATTACCGCGGGAAGGAGAAGAAAGCGAACAGGCAGCTGGTGAGACAGGGGAAGACAATACAGAGGTCAAAGTCGAACGAACCAAGTCCCCAACTGCAGGAATGTCCGAAGCGCCAAATGAAGCAAAGGCAGCAGAAGAGATTGGTTTGCTACAAGGCGAGACCTCTGGCGAGGGCGTTGTCGGGGATGCTGGGGAGACGGAGAGAGAAGACGGCAATGTCAAAACTGATGATGAAGAAGTGAATGAGAACGTTGAGAAGGACGAAACACAAGAAGAAGAAGAAGTTGGGGCAAAAGATTCTGTGGTTGAAGAGACACCGGAAATGAACAATTCTGAAGAAGAAGAAGAAGAAGAAGAAGAAGAAGAAGAAGGCTGTAAATCCAGTAAAGAGGTGAGGTTCTTCATCACTGAAGAGGCGGCGATTGTCAAAGGAGGGGATAATGAAGACGAGGAAGAGGTTAAAGAACAAGAAGAAGAGGCAGAAAATTCGTGATCCTGAGAAAGAAAATGATTAGTTGTTATTGTTGGGGGTTTTTCTCTTTGTGTTATAATATTTCTTTGTTATAGGATAATATCTCGTTTCTACCGAGGATCCATGGCGTGTATAAGAATGGATTGTGTAAAAGAGGACGTTTGATGGAAGATGTTGACAGTGCGACGAGATAATAGATTATAATAAATTACTCATTACAGAATTATTCGCACTGTTAGCACGTCTGAATACAAATGTTTAAAATGTTATACTGACCTTATCATGTTGTTTAAGTCAACGAGCGAGACAGGTGGGCTGTGAGAAGAGAGAGAGAGAGAGAGAGAGAGAGAGAGAGAGAGAGAGAGAGAGAGAGAGAGAGAGAGAGAGC